TCAGCTTCTCTCTCCAGAATACATGAAGAGAATATATAGAGCCACATGTTTTCACCCTCTGTCTTGCTTTCTCTCTCTTTTTTTTTGACCATCTATATCACGGGTGATATTCAGATGAACTAAAAATCTCTGATTGAAATGGAGTACTCGTGTATGGTGAGAATACATACACTTGATTTTTAAAGTTACCATCATGCTTTCATGAGTATAATATTAATTCAAAAGCTATCATTTCTGAAACTGACAATTATGATATGTCAACATGTATAGATATGCATTTCCAGTCTTAAATACTTCTCTGCACTTTTTTTCTCTTTTGCTCACTGTTTACTGAAAATAGTTTATCTGTCTTTCCTTTTTCTTATTACAACATTATTCTCTTATTGGTATGTGACTATGGAAACAAGAGTAGAGATAAAGACAGAATCGACAGCCATCTTTGGATTTGTTTCAGGACATTGTAGAATCTAGAAGCCTGGGAAGTGCTTTTAGGTTAGTGACTGACTAGTCTGGGGTTCATACAGACATGGTTTTCTTTCCTGGGTGATGTCCCATCAAAGTAGTCACAGATTTTCTCATTACATGTGGTAGACATTGACAAGTGCTCCATCTACACCCTGGAACTATCCAGAGTGCCCCCATGGCTTCCACCTATTGGTGTCAGTGTCACAGGACATTTTTATGTGAGAGGCATGCAATCCTTCACTGCCTATGGCAGGTCAGAAGTACTAGGAAATTGATAACCTAGGAGCTGCTGTCAACCATGGGTTCGTAAGATTGGTACATACCACCTTCTCCCTCACCCATAGGTAGGATAATGCTGAGTCTACATTTTGTCTCATTTCTCTGTTTCCTGGATTTAAATTTGTTCTTTAGTAATAGGCTTTAATGGATCTCCTCCTATCCTGAATCACTTCCCTATAGGTGACTACAGCATTTCTTGAAATAGTTATTTGTGCTCTACTCCTTGTTCTTTAAGAACTCAGGTTAGATACTACTAATTTAGAAATGTTAACTGAGGAGTTATTATAAAGTGATATTTTGCAGGCATTTGTGTTTTAGAAACCTTGGCTTTCCCCTAAATGTCTTTCTCCCTCTGCTTCTGTGCTCTGGGATCTCCTGTTGATAAATTCTCACCTCTGCTGACTGCTCCAGTATTCTTCAAACAACTCACTTTTCTTTTTCATGAAAAGATTTTCACTTTGCTCTCCAATGCCTTTCAGCGATAGTTCCTCATTTCCTTCCTTCCCAGCCTAACTTTCAAATAGGCATCGAAGAAAATTGCCTCTATTTTCTTTCCTTTCACATTTTGCTTAGCCACTGACAGTTTGGGTACCATCATTACACTTAAGTCAAACTGCTCTTACATCCCTGATAACAGCCTTCTTGTTACAAAATATGAAGGCCCTCTTCCTGTCCCTCATACTCTCTGATATCATTGAGTACTTGACATTTCCTTCTTGAAAAACGTGTATTGACTTGTTAAATTCATTAAAATTTAAGTTTTGGAAAGGGACATTTAGTTCTGCACTTTCATTTTACATCTGGGGGTAACATACCTAGAAAGAAAAAAACGATTTTCCCTGCAAGGTTCAAAAGGCTAAATGTTGGGCTTTGAATCCAGGGCTTCTGACAGCATCCAGTTTGAGAATTGCTTTTGGTAAATCCTTACCTAAAACCTTTTTGGTATTTATAATTTTTATTCCTTCTGGTACAAAGACCTCCTGGCTGTACTCCCTGCTCCTTCCCAGAGAATCAGATCTCTACCACAACAGGATGGTAGAGATTTTTTGAGGATGATATATCTATCATTTTTTGAGGATGATATATCTATCAAAAAATGTAAACTAGAAAGCTGACAGCCACTGTGTTAGGTGCCAATCCCTCTTTATGGAACAGAGAATAAAACCAAGCCCCTTTCTAGACCTTGACAGACAACCCCACCCATCACCCACATGACATGGTGATCATGCCATCTACAATTTTACACTGTACTACATCATATGAACCTTCCCTCAGCTGACTAGCCAGGCAAGTCCTGCCCTCAAACATTAGATTTGCATTTCTTTCCATTTGGATTGCTTATTTTGCCCCAGGCCATTGCATGATGACTTACCTTTATTTGGTTTCTTTGAAAAAGGCAACATTCTTTTACAGCCTTCCACTGGATGTCACCATATCTAGTACAGTCCCTAAACATACCACTGCCTTTCATATTATGCTGTTTTATTTTCTTCATTAGATTTAAGTCTAGCTGCAATTATATAGCTTACTGATTTGACCAGGAATCTTTCAGAATTCCCACCATTACAATATAAATTCACAAAATATAGGAAATGTTTGTCACACCTTTAGCACCTACAACAATGAATGGTGAATATTCAATAAACATTTGTAACATGTAATATGTCTGATTTTTTTTCTTACACATTTATAAGAATCCTTTCTCTTTCACTCTCCAATCCTATTATTTAAATATTTTTTCTCTTTTTTTAATTTCCTCATAAGCAAATAAGAGCAAAGCTTATTCCTGACTAGGAGTTTTTGTTTCATTTTTCTTCTTAACCAATTCTAGCCTATTCTTCTGACTATTCAAATTGTGGATATCATGTTCATTACCATCATATCACACAGCCATCTTTGGTCATCCCTTCTTCAAATTAAGTAAAATGACCCTTGTATTTTATGCAGTCTCAGTACTCATATGTAATCTATATAGTCTTTAATTATTTCCAGTTGTTTCATATAATAATATTTAGATAACATGTCTAAATATTGTGTGTGTATATATAAGTAATCAGCCATCATTATTTGTGGATTCTGTTTTTGTGAACTTGCCCATTCTCTAAAATTTATTTTCAATTCCCACTTCAACACTTGTTATGCTTTGGGGGTCATTCTTTCTTATTCTCAACTCTTATGTTGGCTTTTTTGTGCTATATTTAGTGCCAGATTGTTTACTTTTTATGCATTTATCCCCTGTGACTTCAGTATTTAAAATGGCCCCCAAGCACAGTGTTCAAAGAGCTAGATGGTATTCCTAAGTGTAAATGGCTGGGACATGCCTATGGAGAAAATTGTGTGTGTGTGTGTGTGTGTTAAATTGTTCAATTAGATGACCTTAAATATAGACACTCATAAGATAAGTTTATGTATTGATTATTGATGAAATGCTATGACCAGAGATAACAGAATCTAGCCCTGAAGTTTCCCTCAGAGCAAGGACTCCATATTCACAAAATGCTTGTATGAACTTATGGAATGACTGTATATAATATGTGTGTTATATGTGTTGTAGTTTACCTCATTAAAGTATTTAGAAGATAAAAGAAACCAAGAGTTATTGTAATAAAATTGTTGTCACAATATTATTTGCCAAGCTAGTAAAGGGTAGATTTGGATTCCAACCAATATTCCAAAGACTCTGGTTTTCCATTCACAATACATGTGCTTTTGAATGTCTTGTAGCTGAAGAACACTAATTATTACTGTGTAGTTTATAATACACATATATGTGTGTATTATGTACACACATGTGTATATATAAACATAAACTATATGTAATATACTAAATGTAAGGAAATTATTGAAAAAACATGAAAAATAACAAATAAGTAGGCATAGGCATTTTAAAACACAGCTTGTTTTACAGCCATTTTAGTGTTAAATTACAGTAATCCCAAATCTTAAAAGTGGCATAGAGGAGCTTTTCATTTCAGTCAAGTTGGTTATCTCTATAAACTTCATACTCCTTATTATGGAAATGAAAATCTGACCAGCAGTTAAATCTTAAAAGTGTCAAAGTTATAAAAACACTACCATGACCTTGATTCCCTCCTGTCCTGAGGATGTATGCACCTTTATATATTATATATATTACATATATATATATGTTATATATATATATACACACACACATATATTTTAAGATCAGTTTTTATATATTGTTACATATGTGTGTAAAATTTTAGTTTCAAATAACAGTTAATTATTTTTGGAATTCCAAAGCAACTTCATGCACACAATTTGAAAACTCCCTCTCCATAATGTTGTTCTTTTCTAAGTAGGTTATACAAGTGCCTATAGGTTAAAATTCTTCTTTTGTGCTTCTATATTTGCAAATACTCCTATGTTTGTACTAAATATAAAGAAGGCTGTCATCAATGATAGTCCCATTTAGGCCACATGGTTGATAGCCAGCTGTATTAAGATAAAGTTGTCTGCAGTAGCAGAATTAGAATTAAATATTGTGATGGAGTGATGCCACCTGGTTCTGTAGCACAGGCATCTTGATATATACAAAATTGATGAGTTCTTTTTCCTACTGTATTCTTTTGACATTTATTTTTACCTTTAAAACAGAGCCAATCATGAGACTCAAATGAATACTTCTCAACTTCCAGATACAGGACAGAGTGAGGAGCTTTTAGCAAAGAGACAAGACAAGATAACACATCATGTCTGCCTCAAGGCTACACTACATATCTTGGAGTGCTAGAAAAGGCACACGGGGTCTTTAACAGTTTTGTCATTATTGAATCCAAGGAACTAATTGATTCAGGTTAGAATTCTGAAATCACTGGCATTTCAGTACACGGTGACATTTTCTATCCCCTTTATTAAGTGGTTGCATGTCTAGTGATTGTAATGATCCTGTTTTCAGAAGCTGAGCAGTTCACAAGATTCAAGACATCAAGGTTGATTTATTTTTCTCCGTTAATGCACTGCTACAGCTTTGTGAGTTCGGTCACTTCTCCAGGTTGGCAGAGGACATCTGCATTCAGAGATGGTGACCATTGCAATGGTCTTGTCCTGCCAGGATTTATTTAAAGCATTGACTGTATATTTAGTAATGTAAATACCACTCATAATTTGGTTAGTGCCATACTCTTTTCCTTAGCCCCAGAAAGAATATAAACACTTAGGGAGATTCTAAACTTTTCAGTTTTAGACTTTTGCTTATTTTCAGAGACTATTGAAAACAATAATTCTTTCTTCAGGAAAAACTATCACAGGAAGAGAGAAAACATAAGGAAGCTTTGGAAGAGCTCCACATGATGGTAGATGAGGATTCAAGGAGCGAAAGCAGCAGTACAGATGAGGGAAAAGAAAAGAACAAATTGCTGTTAGAACGATTGAAAGCTCTAGAGGTAAGAAATGAAACCATTTTTACACATTTAAAGAAAAATAGCAGTGTTCTTCTATTGATACTGGTTTTGAGTGAATATGACCCTTCCTTTCTCAGTTCTCCCAAATAAGAAGAATCTAGTATGTGATTTCTATGTCAATAATAAACAAAAATTTTAAGTGCACAGCACTGGTAGAACCTTGACATAGTGACTGTGACTGTATATAGGATAATAATTCATTTTAAGTTCATCTCAGACCTCAAATTGAATCAGTTCCTACAATTGTAAGCTTCTTGAAGAGAGGTATGTACAATATTTCACTGTGTTTCCCAATACCTGATGTAATCGATTCGGTGAATGAATAAGCAAAATATCTAATACTATATACAGGTGACTATAAACTATTTTAATTTTAAACAATAGAACTATTTCTTTAAAAATGTTAGGGGTGGGGGAAATGTGCAGAAGTTTCACATGTAAAATGTAAAAGTGGAGGTGAAGCTAAGCTTAAAGTTCTTGTAAGGAGTTTTATGGTCTTGTAAGGAGTTTTATGAACAGCTACAATCCTCCAAAACACTGTTTGGAATCACTGGTTTATTATTTAGTGTTATTTCAAAGCATTTCAAGTGTACATTTATGAATGTTTATACAAGGAACATACCAGTTAATGTTCTTGATAGAAACTTCACATAGATAGAAGGACTCAGTGTAGTTACCTTTTTCTAGGGCATGACTTACCAGCTTTCAATTAATTAATTTTCTGTTAGCAGATAAGAACTGGCACATAATTACTTTCATGCAGAGGCTGAAGTTATCCCATCTCATCTAAGTAAACTAGGTTAATTGGACTCTCCAACACCTACAAATATAGTTTTACCATAGGATCAGTGAAATTCTGCAAACTTCAGTAATGACAAGAAACTAGACCTAGAAAGGTCTTGTTTTCTGACATGGCTCCTTACCCCTGCCTCCTAGCACCATGTTGTCTATAGTGAGCATGCCCAATGAAATTAATGAAGCAAAATAGTGAAGATCATGTACTTTGGGGCTAGATTCCCAAAGTTCACTAGGGCTTCTAGTTTATTGCCTTTTAGATCTGAAACCTTGCATGAGTTTATTAGGCAAACATTGCCTGTACATACAGAAGTGTCGAAGGTAGAAAATATGAGCAAGTGATTTCAAACTTGTGGCAGAAGAATGGTCAACTTAGTGAATCTATGGTAATTCTCCTTAACCAAGAAGAATCACCCTTTTCTGCTAAAGATTCTTATACTTTTCTTGTATTTAGGATTGTTGTAAAAAATGAGCATCTCAATGGAGATTGAGTTTATTGTTTGAAAGTTTTGAGAAACTCATAGCTTTATCTTGGTTTATTTAATTGGCTTTAACCTGGGTGGAGATGAGTTAACTAGGTAGAAATGAGTTCATTTAAGTGGATAACATTGACTTGATGTCACTGCTTCTTACTTCCCTATAATCATGTATTTAAGTTTTATTTATTATTACAGTGAAAATTGCTGAGGTTATCTCCATCTCATCTAAATAAACTAGGTTAGTTTTTTACTTTCCTAGTCCATCTGATGTCACTAGCCAACTCTGTAAAGGACATTTTATTTAATCAAGCTAAGAGATATTTAAAAAATATCTCTGGCAGCAGCTGTTTCTTAATGCCTCACTTTTTTTTTTTTCCTTTCTTAGAATCCTTCACTTACAAGATTAACAATTCTTGCATCAATATGATGGCTCTTATATACCATTAAGTTCACAATTTTAATTCACAAAAATATTTTATTTTCTATTATTTCTATGGCTATAGTGTCACTACTTGATTCTTAAACATCTTTTCTCACTGTTAAGTGAACTTTGACCTCATTCATCCAAATATCACTATCAAATACTATCTACTTGAAAATGATCTTCATTTGAGATATATGCATATGTAGACGTAAAAACACACCTACACATGTATTTGTGTATAAATAACACACACATACACATCATAAAATTTTCATATGTATTTTGATACTTGATTTAAAAAAATATGCTACATGTGCTTAGCATATAAGAGAGCAATTATTGTCGAAAAA